TTGAACTGAGGCTATGAAGATTCTTGGAGCTGCCTCCCTGTACACAGGTAGAATCAGGGGCATCACAAGCTGATTTACTGAAATTATTTCCATTCCTCCCACAGGGAACTTTCCATGATCTGACATCTTCCCTGCACTTGCAGCAAGGCTAGAGAAAGAAAGCAGACACAGAAGTGCTAACGCAGTTCAAAGGAAGAGGTGACATGAAATCAGTCACTGGGCTGGAAGAGTGCAAACCAAAAGCACGTACATTTCCAAGCCTCTCAGCCTCTGTCATCAGCAGGTACACAGGCTGGCAGGCACTGTAACACCTGTAAGGGCTCCTGGAGCTATGCCTATTTTTCTTAGATGCACTGAAACAAGGGAACAAGGGAGTATATGACAGCTGAGAGGCAGGCAGGTGTATACCGGCAGGGGTGAGGGGAGCAGCTGCTAATGCATATCACTGGGGACATAATTTACTTACAGTACAGCACCACTGCTCACCTCCTGCCTGCACACCCAGAGCCATTATCAAGCTCATGTCTTTCCCCGTCTTCATTGCTGGAACCTCTTTGTTCCCTTGGGCCCCTCAGAAATGCACTGAAAACACAACAGCTGAAGAGATCTCCTTTGCACAGCTCTGCCCTCCTTTTTCTTACGTCCTTTCACCAGCTCCTCTTTTCACCACACTTGCTCTTGTCCTTAAGTCTCAGAGCTTTCTCTTCATCCTGCATGTTCATTCACATTTTCTCCATCCTTCCCCAACTTCACTACACCAATGGTGGGAGCAGGCTATTTATCCTGCCCTCACACATTTGTCTTCGTGTTGCCCCCTCCACACAAGCATCTTCCCTTACCATAATCCTCTGCTCTTGTTCAAATCTCTCCCCAGAATTGATACATAAATTGAGAGATAGACAAGTATTGTTGATTCATATTTCCTTAACAAGAACAAAGGAAAAATATTTGGTAGTTCGCAAGAACACAAAATGCATTTGACACCCATATCCTACAGTTCGCTCTTTGTACTTCTGAAAGTTCCAGTACCTACACACAGTGTGATTTTAGTTGGGTTACAGCCCTTCCATATCTTTGTTCAGTTACTTATCTTAGATTGTCAACAACACAAACAAGGGCCCCTCCTCCAGAGAGGAGACAGCACATCATGAATGTTGTTTACAGAAATTAAAACAAGAGCCAATGAGGTGCCAGTGGACGGGCTGTACCTGTGGGCCAATTTTAGTACCTGTTCTAGTAGCACCTCTAACTGTTTTGCAATTTGAGTTATCAAGGATCAAGCAAGGGCTCTGTTACTTGGTGCTGATAATTGTACTTTACACTCAACTTATAAGGGTGCTCTGTCTGCCTACAAATTCACTCTCTACCAGAATCCAACTTATCTTTCTGTGAAGCGCTTTCATTACCCGCAGTCTCATAAGCACTAAAGAACAAAATTCAACTCCATATTACTGTTATTCATGCTACGATTCCTTCTGTCACAGCTACTTTATCTAGATTTGCAACCACCATACAGTAGAGATGTGCTCTGCGGATGCCCCCACCCAGCTATCACAAGCACAAACAAGTTGTTCAGTGCTCTGAGTCACAGCCTCAGCCCACTGCTCTTTCGGGCTGATGCCATTGCCTCTCCACTTCCCTGCCTCTCTCTGATGATGACAACTAATGGAGGGAGAACCTCGAATTTCCAGGTCTTGAAGAGGAGGGGAGGATGTTCTTATTACTTTGGATGGGCTCTCCATCAGTGCCCCTAATCCAAAACAGAGCTGCTGAAGCTTAAGATTTCTTAGTTATCAGAACAAGCATAGGTAGATGATATTTAGTGGCACTGGTACTAAATGCTGCTAATTGGTAAATATAGCAGCATTGCTAATCCCTAATCTTGTTTCTGAGTGGGGAAGAGTTGGCCCAAGACCTCATTCGTCTTCCTTGCTCCTGTGATTAGAGCCTATCAAATCCTGTATGCCAAAGCTTATGCCTGTTTGAAATGCCTCAATGCTCTAACTTGGTCAGTTTAAGGACTCGGGAATAAGAGGACAACTTTATCAGTGAAAGCGAAGCACACACAGTTAGAAACTTCCCAGAAACCCCTAACCCCCAAATCTACTCTTAGCTTGTAAACTTCATGTGGATCTAACCTGAGACCCCCCTCTCACCAATAACATGAAATACATTTAGTGATGAATGTGATTTGGAAAACACCATTTGTGGGCGATATATGAGAGTTGATTCTTACTCAGCTATCAGCTTGACCCACTATCTGTTACTACTCTTCTTACTAACCTTAGTAGTACTGGACCATGCCTTATGTCAGTGGCTTTTATCTTTGGGGATTTATCTTCGTTAATAAATCACTGAATGATGCTATGTTGAATGAATAGTGGATAGCACCAACACTTCACTTTTGCTCCTACCTACAGTTTAAGGAAAATATTCTGGGTCTGTCCTTGTTCAAATTTTCTATTCCCAATCTATCACTCCCTCCACCTCCCGTTATTAACCATAGATAATATCTAAAAAAGAACTGTTCAGATTTTGGTTTGGGGTTTTTTTGGTTTTGTTTTGTTTTGTTTTTAGTGTGATAACTCCTATAAGTAAAACAGTAGTTTCTATGGTAAATAAACATTATATTACTGTATTATTTTCATGGGTTTGCAATGCTTATCATGAACACTTTGATGCATGTAAATATGCTCCTTAACTATAAAAGCATTCAAGTTTTTAGCTATACACTACTATCTAAAGTAAAAGAACATAATACAATTTTATTTTTGCTGTGTGGCAAATGTTCTAAGCAGTATTATAATACTCTTCCTCTTGTAAAAGTAAACAACACAACACATGATCAAAATCCCTGAAAAGGAGCTGCTGAATTATCCATGCCACATAATTCCCCTCATAAATATCATCTTGAATACACATTGGGTTTTTTTGCTTTTTCTACTTTAATTGAAAGCTGCTCCAGAATCTCATTTCTTATATTTAATATTAATTACTAAATAATTATTTAAGAGTATTAATTATTAATACATACTGTTAAATACATAAATTTCTAGACAACATTTATTCATGGCCATTTTATACCTATGTACTCTTACATCAGCATTTGCCTTCAGCTTGAATGTCTCTTGCTCCCTTGAGTTTCTCTCCCTATTGTCCTAGAGACCACTACCACGTCTCCCTCCCTGACTTTTTTGGCAAGGTTTGGTGAGTCAAATTCTTGCACAGCCGCAGTTTGGTTTGTTTTGTTGGGGTTTTTTGTTTGGTTTGGTGTGGTTTTTTGATTGGGTTTTTTTTTCCTGGTTGCTTTTGGTTGGTTGGTTGGTTTTTTGGTTTGTATCAGAAATACCTTGGAATAACTTGTAATCACATTTGCTTTTTTGGGTTTGGTTTGTTTTTTTACCATATCATACACATCACCCAGTGAACAGCTAATATAGACAGGTCCTCCTCTTTCTTGGCTGTAGATTGTCGGAGAAACCAGCAGGAGAAATATGTGTATTCTTTAGATAAGAGTTTGATCTGTTTTCCACTAGGAATTTCAACACATTTCCGTATTCTGTTGCACTCTTTCTGTACTGACAAACATTTCTGGCTGTGTGTCAGCAGATATTCCATAGGCATCCTCCTCGTATTCATACAGCCCAAGACGTTAGTGAAGAAGCTAATGAGGAAACAAAATTTTAAGAACTTCATGAGGAAGTTCTAGCTCCAGCATTTTCCAATGTTAACTTATTTTAAATGTTAGCTCCTTTTCTATTTAGCTGTATGTCTCTAATAACTCTCCCTGCTTCTCCCTTCTTAAAGCCTTGCATATGCTCATGGTACCTACTCAGCTTTCTGCCCACATTCTCTCTACCCAACCTTTCTTTAGCCCTCCATCCTGGCTCATTAAATTTTGTATTACCTTTGTATTTGCCTCTCTTCAGTCTTTGGTATCATGCCTGGCACCATCTCTTTCCTTGCCCTTCATATTGCTGTGTCCTTGTCCATCTACATTACTTTATTTTCCTGCTCTTCCAACTATATATAACTTCCCTCTGTCATTTTCTGTCCTTTACACTTCTGCTTACATTTTGTTTTTCCCACATCCTCTCCACACTGGTCACACTCCTTCACACTCTCCTATTCCTCTTTGGTCTTCAATAGACCTGACCCTTGACAGCAGATATGGTCAAACCTTGGCCCAGGCTGTGAGATGAGGCCCTGCTGGAAGTGGGCTTGCAAGGCAGTCCAGCTGCCTGTGGGAGGATGGACCCACTCCCCAAGTGAGAAGGTGCAGCTGAAGCCACTGGTCCACTGCTCCCCACTGATCCCAGAGTCAACCAAGGGGACACCAAGAAGGCTCATACCATTGCCCTCTTGGCTCCCAATACTTTTTCAGACATCTGAGGAACTACCCTGTCATTCCCTGGGCTGTGTCATTACTTTGGTGCCCAGCTTACTGGGTCAGGAGGGTTAGTTCCCCCACTTTACCATGGCTTCTGCCATGCAGCTCCCAAAATTGACTCCCCTCCATTTCTATATCTCATTTAAATTTCTACCTCTCCATTTTTTCAGATCTCCTTCATGTATCATCTGAATCATGCATATGCAGTGAAGGCACAGCTGCTTGTTCACCAATAACATCTGCACTTCATGTTCACTGGAAACAGCTGCATATTGGGGACAATTCAACAGGACAGCACTCCTGACATATGTTAAACCCTTAGGTGAAAGCATTCATGTCACTGAATCCCAGCCTGTCTTTTGCACCACTGGAACTATGAAAATAGCAGCTCTTTTTGATTAAATCAGAAGTTTTCAAAGGTGAGGACTAGTGCTCAGGTTCAGTTCAGCAGCTCAGGGAACCTCCCTTTACACCGTACGGGAACAGAACGAGAGCAGTCGGGCCAGGTCCTTTGGATGGCAAGAGCAATGTACCTTTCCAGACCTTTGTGGAAAAAGTGTTTCAAAACGATGATTAAGCAAACTAAGCATAACTAAGATTTCACACTTACCCTTGCAGTGAAGTCCACAGCAGCACCCCGATTTAACAGCAACGTAGCTACATTGATATTTCCATAGTGAGCAGCTATGTGGAGGGGAGTGAACCCACTCTGGAAAACAAAACAAAACAAAACAAAACCAACAGATACTTATTTTTTTATAAGTCATTGGTACTCCAGAATTTGCATCGCATCACTGACAAAAGCTAGTAACAGGAGTCTGCTGCAAGTCACCATTCCAATTCTGTGCTAGTTTTCACTCACTGAGGTTTATTTATAGACTCTCAGAGAGTCTAAATAAAATCATATTGCTATGCAGGAGGGAAAAAAATTAACATAATTATTCTAGAAGACCAGAACTAGGATACAACTTGCAGTTATTCCAGAAAAACAACGGTATTAAAGCAATGATCTGTCCTTCATTAGAAATCAATTTCTAACTAGAAATATGTAATTGTTAACGGTATTATGTCCATCTTACAAGTTAAACCTTTAGAGATTCTTTGCAGAAGTTCAGATACAAGTCATTTAGTGATACTTGCTCGTTTTTTATAAATTCAAAGTAGATGCAAATGAAAACATCATCAAAGACGATTTTAAATTATTAATATGGATCTTTTTTCCAAGGGTTAGTGTCATAAAGATCAATCTCCCACTGTGGGCAATCACACTGGGTTACGTTCAGACACCATGAGTTACCACCCTAATTAGAAGATGCCTTACTGATAAAATTCCTTCAGCAACTTGTTTTCATATTTAAGTTGTTGTACTTCTTTTTAAAATAATGCTAAAACATGCAGCAATTCCATCAGTCCTGCAAAGTATGAAACCTTATGGGAACTAGATGCATTTCTAAATTGTTAGCAAGCCATGCTAGCTGCCACTGCCTTACTTTGGGAGTTTTGCAGATATAAAACCACTCTCAGACCATTCTATTTGCTGACACCATCAAGGTAAGTGTCATGCAGAAGCCTAAAATCAGACCTGGATGCACAACATGACAGGGTTGTCTGCAGCTCTTAACACATCTGATAAATGTACATTCCATGAGAATCCCTGAAAACTCCATCTTACATAATATGGCTCTTTTGTGATGGCAGTTAGTTCCCAAGAATGCTTACTCTTACTTTTAAACCCTAGTTTCAGCTGCAGAAAGCCCTGGTATCTAAACTACAGTCTTCTCTAGCACATGCTACTTTATTTCATCTAAAGCAGGTATCTATCCTGTAAAAGGCAATGCAGAAAGGAAGAGGAAGAAATGATGCAGCAGCACTAAGTCATGGAGGAGTGATGATGCATATATATATTTATATATACCTCTGTTGTTCTATTCACCATCATCTAGGTTAACACATTTGGAAGCAAAGAGGGGGAAAAAATGAACGGTTAGTTCACCACTGGTGATATGGATGCAAAAAGCTTCATGATTGCTACATGGCATGGCAGCTCAGATGACAGCACAATCAGCACAAAAAGGAAGCTCGACTGAATGGAAGCTGAATGATCGAGTATTTTGAATGTTAATTGTTACATGTTTACCAAAATTCTTGAAGTAGCAATTGCACAAACAACTAATCAAATTACTTAACTGCACAATACCTATAGCAGACCACTGCAGGAGTGGCTTTCATTCCCAAGTGAATAATTCTAGTAATGTTTTACTTATTATTTTCTATTTGCAAAGTTTCTACAGGAGAAATTAACCCTGATTTAAACAAAAAGGGAATGGGGGAGGAAGAGGCAGAGGAAATAAATGAAACGTTATTCTGAATCACACACTATAGGAGAAAGTTATGTGTAACTCTGCAGCAAAATACTTCACACTAAAGGAGATCTTCACTGGATGTAATACATGTCGTCAGCACTTAATAGCATTGAATCTTGTTTCTTTTTACAACTGACCTTTGACTCCACATCAGCATTGTGGTCATTTTGCAGGAGCAGAGCCGCTGCCTTCGTATCATCCTTGCGAGCTGCGATGTGAAGGGCAGGAAGACGGACTTTTCCCTTCGTATCATTTTCAAGCAGCAGTGAAACCACCTGGTCGTGACCTTGTTGCAAAGCTACTGCCAAAGGCGTGAAACCATCCTGCAACATACAATGGGGACTCTCAACTCATATTCCAAGCTTTCCAGGGGTGGAAAGGGGAAAGGAAGAGATCTCAGCATTAGTAACAGTACTTGCCCAAATGCAAACATAAAGTGTAGCATGGTGCAAATTAAAAGTACTCTGCAATGACACTGAAATTGGAGTGAAGTGTCAGTGAACTAGGTGTCAAATGTTCAAAACACCTTTCTGGCACTCCACACTTGAACATAAAATTATAAGACACAAGCAAACAAAAATGACTGTGACTTGGGAAAAAAGGTGTGAAATTACTCATGAATTAACACTTACATAAATAAGTATGTGTATAGCAAAGCGTATAGCAAAGTGTATAACAATGTAAAAAGGTATAGAATGCTGAAATATTAAAATTATAATTGTTAATGATGTCTCTATAGCAAATTATCATCCATTCCCCTCACAGCTACAGGTTATAATCTATGTTTCTCGAGAAAAAAACCCCAAAGCTTCAGCTCTATCCTCTGGTATATTTTATATGTAGATTTAAAATCTAATAATATTTGAACAGGAATATCACATTCTCCCAATACACCAATTGTTTTACTCCAATTTCCATTTATGAAAATTTATATAGGTGTGATGTACAGTCCTCTTATAAACAGAAATTATTTCCTGTCAGACTAGCAAATAGCCAACTAAAGTAGAGCAGAATAAGAAACCTGAAAAAGAGAAGACTTTTAACAGATTTTAGAGTGCATTCCTCAAACAATTGAAAACTACAGTCCAAGATGCTTTTATAATTTTTATGGATTCTTAGAATGAAAGAGTTATCGTTTAGATTCTGCTCCTTCCCAAACATCAGAGTGGTATTCCAATCCAGGAACTCATTCAGCTTTGACCAAGATAATACCCATAAGTCACTCAAAAAAATCACAAACGCAAATTGCTCTACTTGGGATATTTATTTATCACATTTGAATCTCAAACAGTATAGCCAAAGCTTATATTACCAAACTTCACTACAGGTTAGTAGGTAAACAACTTCTTTCACTTTTCAACTACTTCTGTCATGGTGAAACTGTGTAAGTGTGAAATAAAAGTGCAGCAATGACTCAGAAGTATGTAGGTCCCCACACTCTGAGAAGTGCAGAATGAAAGTGTTAACTTTTTAACTTTTGAAACTAAATGTAGTGTTTTCAACAATGAATTTTTCTCCCTGGCTTCCTAAACAAAGGGCCCTCAATTTAAGAGAAGAAATAGGAGGGATTCTGAAAATGAGCAAGTTTTCAAAATTTTTGGAAAAAAAAATAAAAATTACTGAAACTCCTTGGGTCCTAACAAGCTTTTTTTAATCATGAATGTTTTTAAACTCATTTAACCACAGCTTTCCCCTTTTCCTCCACCTCACCATCCTCCAGTAGTGGGACAGGGCTCTGGGCTGCGGTCCTGGGCCATGAGTGGTTCCTGGGGTGAAAAAACTGTGCAGCCTCAGACTGTGGGCAGAGAGCAGCACAGCATGTGAAGAATTCTGTGTAGCTCTGAAGGACAAAAAGCTCCATGAGCATCCCCACAAGAGGGCTCTGGCAACATAACACCTCTGTACCTGCAGAAATGGAAGCTCTAGCCTGGAGAAACCCTGACTGCGACAGATCACACCTTAGTGACCTGGAGACATTGGCTTCCTTCTCTATTTATACAGCTGGTGGCAGAGGCACAGTCTGCTTCTTCACAAAGAAACGTGGTTTAACCATCTACAATGTTTTTTCTCATCAAGCTTTCTCTTCTGATAAAAGTGCTTGTAATGATAATATTATAAAAAATGCTAGGAATACATTTTCTCCTTTCCTTAGGGAAAAGGGAGTGGACAAATGGGAAGAAACACTTAATTCCAACCCCAAAACAGCTGCCATCCCCTTTACCCCCAGTTCACTAACTCTGATGAGAGCTGCCCATCATTTCAGTGTGTGCAGAGATCACTGTACCATGGCCAAGCAAACTGTGACCAAGAATATTAGCACCAATAAGAACATATTTCCACCACACGCTCTCTGAAGATGCCAACTGACAAAAGGCAATTGCAAGTGTCATGATGTTGGTACTATAATTCGCGACCGCACTTTCAAACCTAAGGCAAAGTCCATTCCAGGAAAAAAAAACCCCAAAACACAAAAACAAACCACCCCACGCTAAAAACAATTTAAATAAAATAGTTAGTTCTATTTTTTATTTAAATTAAAATTCCTTTGTTAAAGAGTTTTATTTTCAATTAATATTTAGCTAAGTGGTAATAATTTAATAACAAAGGCTTTTCCACTTACAAAGGTAAAGATAAATCAGATTTATATGAAAACTTAGACCAACAAAAAATAAAAAGGCACCCATAAGGATCTATCACAAACAAGTAAGGCAATAAAGGCAACATTGTTTTGTAGTCTGGTATCTTCAAAGGAATTCTCCATGGATAAAATTAGATTGCCCCTTATCGTCAAGCTGAGTTGGAGAAAAGTCAACCTAAACTGACATACAATGCTCAAGGGAAAAACAATAGCAAAGAAAAAGAACCAAGTAACCATGCATAATCTTAAAAATTTATATTTTCACCAAATCATACAGTAGTAAGAGTCTTTTCAAAAGTCTGAATCCATTGTACAACTCTGGGGGTCCTGTGACTTCTTCATTTCCAAGTTTTTACAAAGAAATAGAAATCAGTGTTCTGAAAAGTACAATTTTAAACTAATTTTCCAGATTTAAAATATTAATTTTGGTATTTCTTGGCTTTCATATCTTTGAGCATTTCCAGAAAGTAGTTTCTGATGCACACCTCCAGTTATAACTAATTTTTATTGATTTTGAAAACATAGTTTTGATCCACTAGTGATTATTTTTTTACAGTGCTGACTTCAGAAGAGGAAAAAAAAAGATTCCATACATACATTGTTATATGGTGATACTATAAGGTATAGTGATGCAATAAACTAATCTTGCATTTCATATTTTGCAAAAAGTAGGACTTTTCCAAATATCATTATTTCCTTCACAGAATCAGTTCAGACAGAGTAATCTGAATTTAATGAATATTAGAGAGAGCACACACTAAAATACTTTTTTTTTTTTTTTTTGGTAGTAAACCTTAGAATTCAGACAATTGAAAATTCATCAGATTAAAAACCTTTCTCAGTGCAGTACATTTAAGACTATTAATAAGTCTGCTATTCTTTTTCCTTCCATTTTGCCTTATTTGAGCTAGAATTACTTTTTAAAGCAAGAAATAAAAAGTGTTCTTCTAGAAAGACCACAGAATACCTTCAAGAATGGAACTTGCATCTTTCTGTCAGCTTAACATTATCACTGCAAAACCAGATGGGAAAACCGGGTGCTACAGAGAGGGCATCAGCATGGCAATAAGTGCAGTTCAGAAAGTGCTCCAAGCACTAAGTAACCCTGGGTTTCCGTTGATGTCCCAGGGCTGGCCCCAAAGCGTAAGTAAACAGTTGTTCTTGCTTTACGGTTGCCAGCCACATTGCTCAGTATTTTTAAAGAAAGCACAGAGAACTTTTATATTATGCACACAGTTTCCCTGTTTGAGTGCTTAACCTGAAAGATTACCAGTTATGACTAAGAACACATTTATTTTTAGAACTGTTTCTAGTTAAAGTCCTTTTTTATTTTAGAGATGGCAAGAGATAGTCTAAACTGTTGAAAAGGCAATCACTCAGTATTCGTTAGCACACTTCATAGAGACAACTTTTTATTGGTCTTTAACTTTGTACTTAAAAATAGTAGTTTCATAGAAGCTGTCAAGAATCAGTGCTGAAGCACATTTTACTTTGTTCATAAAGTGTGAAATTCAAACTTTTACCTCTGTGGCAAGGCTTTGACTGGCACCATTGTCAAGAAGAAATTTAACAACCTCCAGGTGGTTTTCTTGGGCTGCCATATACAGTGGAGTGAAACCATTCTGAAACAGGAAAACAAGAGTGTAAACACTCTAGAAACATTTCATACATACCACAGATCTGCTAAAATTGGGTAGATCAAGAGGAAAACAAACTGTGTGTGCACATACCAGTTAATGGTGTGATCTCCCCTGATTTGAAGATAGAAGGGTAATATTATTTAAAAGGACACAGTGGAATCTTTCAGCTGACCAGATACAATTCCCACACCTAAGTGAGAATAATTCCTTTTACATCTGTTTTGAAGTCAAACTAAAAACCAATCTGGACAGACCATTTGGTAGAGATGGGTTACAATTCCCGATAAATGCAGGCACAGCAATGGAAATGCAAAACGGGACACGCAAATACAATACAAGTATGTAGGAAAAGCAAGGGCAATGGCTCTTCAGAATACTTTCCAATTTTTTCCTCTTCTCTTCATTAGCTTTGACTTCTCTTTCACTTCTGCTGTCTACGTATGCCTTTTGTCTCTTCAAAGAGCTGTGTTCTGAGCACAGCCTGCTTGTGGTCACTGAGCTACTTTATATTTCAGGCACCAGGATATCTCAGGATTGTTAGTTCTCAGCAGTTTGAGATAGAGGTTTATCAGTGTTTCTGGACACATTAGAGCATTTCTCAAATTATGCTTAAGTGAGTGATTTCAATCAATGCAACACAAGTATTAGAGGCTGCAGAGCTTAACTCATTCTTTGGCTAGGGTTTTCCTCTTGCAGTCAATGCCTTACAGTCTCTGCCTTGACTGCATTCAGGTCACAGAATTTCAGGAACTGAATTTCTGGGTGCTAACATTAAGACAACATACTTTTCCCTGTTCTATGCATTTCTGAAATTCACTGATTTGATGTCACTCACAAAACCAAAACAGCAAAATGAAGTCATGAAACCTTTCCTGGGTTCAAGATACCCCTAAAGGAATTTATAGAAGTTGCTGATTTGCAGCTGGAATTGCTTTGCTTTCATACAGCACTGCACATCCCTCAGTCCAACAGAACCATGAACTAGTGGTAAATACATTTTATAGTAACAACTTAAAACACTCATATATTATTGTCTGAGCAGCTTGATAGTGCTGAAACAATCAAAGCAGCATCAGCCATAAGAACAATGATCCCTTCTCCTCTGCTCTGTCATAATACGTGTTTTTACCCTTCATCCTCCAGCGTCACTCTTTGTCCGACACATCACTGCTAGACTTTGCCTGATCCCTTTCCTTACGGTACCAGCACGGGTCATGATGCCATTAAACATTTTGGCCAGGAGTTCACTGAGGTTTCAGTGGGCTCTATTAGGGCCCTCTTTCTTCTCCCTATCTTCCAGATCTCATGTCATTAGGATTTCTGTGAACCTCAGTCTTAAGTAAGCTTCACACAGAACCAGCTGCAATGGGGGCAGCAGCTTCCCTCTTCAACTACTCGCTGCTAAGATCCCCCTAGACCTCTCGCTCTACCACACACCACTTCTAGTTATTACTTGCGTTGGAAGGACAAGGTGGAAAGGAAATACAAAAGAAAGTAGGATGTAAGGGCTAGTTAAAAATATCAGGTAAAACAGAGAGAGATTTAATCTGGCTTAAATAACAGAAAATTTAAGGAAGAGCTTCCACACAACTGGGTTTGGCAGAGAGCATCAGCACTTGCGCCTGCAGTGCGGCCAGGGCAGACATTTCAGCAGGGTGGAAGGTGCAGGGGGAGCAGCTCAGAAATTTGGCTAGAACAGTTACAAAGGACACTGACCTAGATTTTACAGGAAAACAATGGTGCAAAACAGAGGTGAGCTGAAAAGAGTTTGTCCATATATTTGCATCAAAGAAAAAAACATTAACATTCTGGGCTCTGGAGGGATGAAGTGAAACTGTAGCCTAAGACCTACAGCAATGAATTTCAGCTGAGTTATGTAGCCACAGTGAAAACAGCTGAGAGACATCTGACTGTCACAGCAACGGAACCGAGTTGCATGGCACATGTCCAACACAGTGCACGCAGGAGAGCGCAGGTGACCGGAGGCCGAGCATGCAGGCTTCACTGGCAGCAGAGACAAATCGGAGGTCAGAAGAAAGGACAGTTGGAGAGGAAACAGCATGAACTGGATGTTTGATCCAAGAGGAACTTTACCATCAGCAAGACACTGAGCAGCTGTGAAGCCACATGTTTACAAGGCTTGCACAGGCTGTGAGGTCTGTTGCTGTTCCAGTATTTTGATAATTTGGTCTCTATTCAGGAAAACACTGCTACAAGCATAAAGCAGGCGCTGAAGTCCTACTGGAGCCAAAGCCTAAAGTTAGCAACGTGTTAATGCACTCTCTAGAACCAAGGCCTAACACTTCAGTTACCATACAGTTAGAATTCTGCTTAATGAAAACCAAAGAAGCCAGTAAGCACCTTCTAAGGTACCTAATATGGCACATTACAGGTTTTTACTATAGTGAACAGCAGAGTCTGGCATTTTTCCCCATCATTTCATGGCATACTCAATATCTATTTACTAACTCAGCTGGAAACAGAGATTAATATTTTTTTGTTTGTTTCAAACATTTGCATTCAGAAAAGAAACAGGAAACACTTCCTAATTATTCATTTCAAAAAATAATTAATAGGCAAAAATTCTCAGGACCAAGTAGTATTAGCATTTGGAGGCAGAGCAGAACCTTTTCTCCTATGTTAAACTATCACAAGGTATTCCACCTTTTAACCCCCTATATTTTGCTTTCTCTTCTCTCTTCAAAAAGGGTCTGAAATTGCCAGAGAGCCACAGGCCTTAGGAAAGCATTTTGTCTTCCACAGTAATAAATAGCCCTTTGAAGAGGTGCAAAATTCAGACTCAGTAAAAATTCGCTTTTTCTTTTCAAGGACAGGAAGATTTGGTTAAAGAAGGCCTTACATCCCCTAACACTGGCAGGGAAGAGAAGATAAAGCCAAACTCACAGAAAAATGGGTCAGCATCAAAAAGAAAAACAAAACAAAAAAATCCTTGAGTGGTCTCTCTGTGGGTATGCCAAATTCAGCAGAACTTTATTCTAAGGCTTAGGAAGGATCAAGTGATGCTCAGTACCACAGACAAAGCTGGTCCAGGGGCAATTCAATAACACAGAGATCCAGGGACTTCCCAAGATGACTAATCCCAACTGGGGTATCTCTTTGCCAGGTATTGGTGTGGAATGGCCAATATACATTTCTCTCAAGCAAAGACACCAAAGGCATCCATAATGGGGGGAAAAATAATTTTTAATTATCATACATTAGCAAAATAAGGGTAACATGGCAAAACCTTAGGGTGTATGGACAATGCAGTTATATAAGATGTTTACAATCTCAGATTATTTTTAGTTTCAGGGCTGAATACACAAGTTCTCAAACAAGCAGAAAAGATCCTTTCAAAGCCATGTTAATTTCTTCAACACAGAACCATTGGAAATATTTCTGCTTTGTTTTACTTCTTAACAGTCATGGAAGATTTTTCTTAAAACTAATTTTTGTTATTGTTGTTCTCTTTAAATTCAAATTATACGGTGTCTGGAACCAAACGATGCTGTATGTAGCTAATACAAAAGAGTAAGAAAGGAGAAATGAGTAGCCTGGTTTTTTTTGTCCAGGTGAAAGAAACATAAAACGTAGATCACAGATAACTAATATTCTTGACCGCCCATGTTCTATTAAACATTTTGTTCATATTATTTGAGAGACCATTAAGAAAAAATCTTTCTTTAAAATGGGTAATTTTTAATTTCCCTTTTTAACAAACATTTTCTATCATGCCCACATCTTTACGATCCAGCAGAACAGCAATACTGGGCCAGATAAGAAGACCATCTCTTAGTCTGATCCCCTTTCTCTGACGCTGCCTGCCAGCCAGTCCCTGAGGAGGAACAAGAGGAATGGGGCAGGCAAGCACGGACACCTCCTATGGCACAGTTACATGGCTTTCAACAATCTGTGGTTTATGCATTTTTTGAGACAGAGTTTTTCTGTTTCATGTTGCTGCTTTGAAGACCAGCACTGTTTTCCCTTATTTCAAAATTTCTGTAATTGACCTAAATATTAATTCAAAATAGTTGACCAAACTTAAAAGTTCTGCATGTGCTTGCTGTACCTCCTTGCACATGGAAAGGGGATGCGCTCTATTAGGCCTGAGACATTGCATTCTGTGAAACAGGATCCCTTTTTATCTGAACAAGCTCTCTCCCACTCTCCTGTTCTATCAGTATCTCTTCTCACTCTGTAACAGCAGCTCGTAGGATGCTGGAGGGCAGATCTAAAGTTGAAGGGTAAAGGCTTTGCTGTGCTGCCTGTTACACAACCACTTCCAGCATCCTGCAAACACCCCTGTATGTGCCTCCACTTTCTTCATCTCCAGGGCTGTGTGTCTGCATGGCTTCTGGACAACCGTCCTGGGTTAAGCTAAGAGTTAACTTTCTAGCTAGCAAGAGGCTGTGTTTTGGATTTATGCTCAGGAGAAAAGCTGATAAGAAGGGAACGTTCACAATTATTACTAGGATACTTCAAGGTCCTCAGCCTCTC